AAATTGAAATACGATCTGTCATTTTTTAAATAAACCAATAAAACTGGTTAAAAACAAGAAGACACGACGTATGACGGATTATATTTAAACCCATCCATAGATAACTTAAAAATTATTAGAAACTTTTTTTAGTAAAATAAATAGATTGGTATGGGACGTCATCTGCTTTTCTTCTGTTATCGTCTGTCGAAATCTTACCTGAGAAAAAAAACAGAGTATAAAATACATACCTGCAGCTGCAGAGTCATTTTCAATCAAAACAATAATATTAACGTAAAAAGAGCACAAGAACAACAACAATTTATAATTTTAAACATAAAATTTGGCCATTTACCTCTTATCTGTGGGAAGTAACAACTTTGACGTTTCGTTGCAACAAATGAATGCAACTAAACACACCCATAGCAACGCCATTCATGGCAGACATGATTTAACTTATCATTTATCTTTTTTGGGGAAATCTTAAACACATTTGCTTTTTCGAATTTTGATCACCGATTGTCATGGTATGAAACACCATCATTCTGCAGCAGATTAACAAAGTTCGGCTGAATTAAGTTTTATTTTATTTTTTACCTTTCTTTCTTTCTTTTTTAATTAAAATAAAGTTACTTAAAAAATGATGTGATGCTTTTCGTTGAAACTTTAACCATCGAAACTCGTAGGTAGGATTTCGTCCTGAAAACTTCTGACCTCAGAACTTTCCCGGTCAGATCGAGGTTTAAATACGTCGCATCAATCTTCCTCGTCTCAGTAACTTCGAACCACTTTACTCTTAAACGTTGGCGAGATTTGTTGAGCCCGCCGACGCTAAGAACGGTTTAATATAAAAATTAATCGCCTCTCTTCTGGACCAGATCGACGGGAAACGACTGTCCGGAATTGAGAGCAGGAAGAAAGTTTCATTAGGAGATAATTCTCGACGATTTCGGGGTTTCTATTTGGTACAGATACAATACATTGGGATATTTGTTAGTTTTTTTTTCATTTAATTAGAGAATTCTATTTGTTTTGATAACAAACACAATACCGTGCTGGCAACTGTTACTCTTAGGTCTGTATTTACATGTGTGGAAGTAAATCGCATAGGGATCTTATTAAGTCGGTTGTAAAATACCCGCACATGCCCAATTAAGCAATTTTTAAACGTTATTTAGAAATAGCGCTTGGTGTAATTGATCCGCAAATTACGTCAGGCGGTAACGTTATTAGGGGGTGTTGCGTTAAAAATTGACTCGCGCATATCATAACCATGATAAGGTACGCGTAAATATTGCATGACGCTATTCGGTTTTCCGATATCTCTCTAATAACCATGACAACAACTGTAGATAACAATTTTTCTACTAATACAAAAAAGTTTAAAAAAAATTGTTTAACTATTAATATTTACCATCCAGTTGTTACTTTTAGAGGTTAATATAGAATCACCCCACCCAAATTTTTTCCCGTCTTTATTCCGGCAACTTTCCACAAACTTTTTCCCATAATTCCTAAACGTTTCCACTTGTTTGGGTCTATTGAAAAAGTTTTTATATGAGGCCAGACCGCCGGGAATGCAAAACGCTCATATTGCCCAAAGTTTTCCAACAAGAAGCCGTTTTTTGAGGGACATTAAGTTACAACAATGAAAATATATTTTTTTCTTTCTTCTTTTGTAAATTCTATTTATTCAGCTAATGTCTTCGGACAAACAATACGTCTTATTCAACTTTTTCCCGGTTTAAACCTAAAAATAACAAAGTTTTATTGAAACGAAGTTAAGAAGTTTGATGGAAGAATAAACGTAGCTTTCAGTGTTCTTAACAGATTTAGAAATGTGAATTTTGTGCTTTAATTGAACAGTTAGTTACCTACATGACAAATATGCCATATATTTAATTAATTAAATACCACAGTATCCAATTACACAGATTCACGCTTTTTTTATAGGTCCTATCATAGTTATTCCACCTACACAGATTAGGGATGAGACATCGAAGTAGTATCATTAATGTTATTAAACATCGATACTAACATCCGGTAGAATTATCGATGTATGAAAAATATCGATCACAAATTATTGATCTTGAAGTCTGTGAAAATTGGCCGGAAACAGTAATTAATTAAACTATTTGATATTGTTTTTTTTTTCTTAATAAACATTACCCTGAAATGTTAAGTTATCAAAATATATTTATACCATGTGAATGCGATGATATTTTGTTGAGTTTTGAAACTTATAACATCGATAGTAAAATTTCGAACTTGGAATGCTAAACATCGATGTTGGTTTAACATCGATAATTAGCGCCCATCCCTAACACACATGCTATGGTCATTTTACATTGTTTTTTTTTGTTTTACGCTATCTAGATGTTGTAATATTCGACTCTTAAAACAGATTCTTTTCTATTTGGACATCTCAGTAATTTAAAAGTATGACTGTGTGATTTTTAGGTACGTATTCGATAAAGGACTATCAAACAGACAGAACCTATCACGTTCTAGGTATATTAATATTTAGAAGTTCAATTATAATAAATATGCAACAAATATATAATATAATAACAATTTAATTGAATAAAAAAATGAAACAAAAATTCATCATTACATTAAATTATTCCAATATTTTCATAAAAAAAATACTCTAAATATTAGCGATTATCTGGATTTGGTATATTTAATAAATGTTACTATCTGATTGGTTTATTTGCTCAAATTTATGGGATGCCTATCAGTTCCTATTAAATACAGGATGTTCTAATTTGGACCACTTACTCGATAGCTATAGTAAAATTTACCCGTATTTAAGAGATGATGAAATATTCTCAAGATGACGATACTTCCCCATTATGCTGCTAGTAGATTAACCTAATTGTTTTAAATTAATCATTAATTATACAGGGTGCTCCGAACTGTATTTCGGAAACTTCGGCAGCATATTCTGAAGATAAAAATAAGTAAAAAAGTTTGTATAAATGTATGTCCAAAAATGCTTAGTTTCGGAGATACAGGGTGTAGAAGTTTCATTTTTATTTCGATTTTTTCCAAATAATTTATGAAGTAACGTCAATATTTGGATGCAAATTGGTGTTTGAGAGTTTTCTGACATGAGAAATTTGATTTTGATGTCAATATGACTCCTACTTGTAGAGAGCGCCACCTACATATTTTTTAAGTGGTTTGAAGAATAATAACTTTTCGTCCGTATCTGTATAAAACTACTGAGTAAAAAAGTATACATTTACGACGTTTTTTTTATGGAAAAAAAGTTCTCTTGGTAAAAATCGACTCCGAGTAATGGTTCTCGAGATATTTTGAATCTAAATGATCAATACCTATCATCATTTACACAAATTAAACTACTAAATAGTTATTAGACTAAAATAATAAATTTTAAATGTTTTTGTGCCAAAATTTCAACAGAAACTGTTTTATCATCTTTTTTCGAAAAAAAAACAACATGATTAATTTAAAAAAATAAGAAGGTTCCAAATTTTTAATTTCAGTGAAATAACTATCTACCCAACATGTTTATATTTTGTCAATAATGACATGTATTGACTATTTTCATTCTAAATATCTTGAGAACAGTTGCTCGTAGCGATTTTTACCAAGAGACCTTTTTTACGTAAAAAATGTCGTAGATGTATATTTTTTTACTCAGTAGTTTTATACAGGTACGGACGAAAAGTTATTACTCTTCAAAACAGTTAAAACACATGTAGGTGACGCCCCCTACAAATAGGAGTCATATTGACATCACAGTAAAATTTCTCATGTCAAAAAACTCCCAGACACCAATTTTCATCCAAATATTGACGTCACTTCATAAATTATTTGAAAAAAATCGAAATAAAAATAAAACTTCTACACCCTCTATCTCCGAAACGAAGCATTTTAGGACATATATTTATACGAACTTTTTTACGTATTTTTATCTGCAGAATATGCCGCTAAAGTTTCCGGAATACAGTTCGGACCACCCTGTATGCATAGACTATTCCCAGTACACTTCACCCAGTTTTGATATCCAAATTCTAAATCCCCCACCACAAAAACACCTACACCGGGCACTACTTAACCTATCCAGCCCCACTTTATCCACACATCTTGTCCGTTTCGTCCTCTTCATCCCTAATTCCTCTGGCCCTTAACTGGCCCTGACAACTTGTTTAATTCTCTCAAAGCCTTTAATTAAAACAGTCAGCCTTGAACCCGCCTTTTCCGCAGCATGTTTTCAGTCGACTGGTCCGGATTTTCTGCCAAACCGATGACGATAACGGCGGAAACTGGAGTGTTGTTGACGTCTTTGTTGTTGTTGTTGTTTTGGGAAGCCGTCAATTGGCCCAGGCTGTCTTTTTCTTTTGATAGCCCATAAATGGGCCGAAGGGATGGCTGGAAAGTTATTTGTCTGGAGAAATATTCGACAGCTGTGCCTACAGTGGTGGTTCTGTACTCAAAGGGTAAAAACGGGAACCCTATTACTAAGACTTCGCTGTCCGTCCGTCTGTCACAGAGGTCTATCTTATGAACCGTTATAGCTAGACAGTTGAAAATTTTACAGATAATGTATCTGTGTTGCCGCTATAAGAACAAATACTAAAAACAGAATTAAATAAATGTTTATAAATAAAAAAGTACTTTCATTAAACATTATCTTTTAAGTAAGAATTTTATATAGAATCTTTCAAGTCCTGGGTGGCTGCGTGGTTAAAGCGTTAGGACTTTACGCTGCTATGACGTTGGAGCCGTAGTAAGGCAGGTTCGAATCCTAGTCAAGGCGACTTTTTTTAATCGTTTTTTTTTAATTTTTACATATTTATTATTGATTAATATTGTTATACTCGGTGCCCGATATAGTTGCTTTAATTCTTCATTTGTTCTTCTCGTCCATATCTTGTCTATCTTCTCTCCTAAATTTTTCCTAGTATTTTCTTTTTATTTTTTGTCTTTTATTAATTATTATTACTTTTTTTGTCATTTGCATAATTTTCGTTTTATTTTATTCCAGATGCCGTCAAAGATGGCTGGCAGTGGCAGCCAATGCCACATGGTGGAGCAGCCGAGCTGGTCCAGTCCCTCGGCCAGTCCCAGCCCGCCACCGCCGCCGCTGCCGCCTCCAGTGGCGGCGCGCTGGGCTCGCACCGAGCAGGCCAGTGCCGACTCGTGTCCGCACTGCAGAGGTCGGCTGGCGTCGTTGCCCACTCGTACCACATCTTTAAGCAGTTACAGTTGTAAGGGTGAGTACTGAGTACAGTATAAATCTTGTTAATCTATACTAATATATAAAATCCTTAAGTGACTAACTCACTAATTAATTACGATCCTGCTCAAACCACTCAATGTAAGAAGCTCAATTTTGGCATACAGGTTGATTCTAGGATGTAGAGGTTCGATGAGAAGGAATTTTTCGAAATTCCAGTTCCATATTACAATACAAATAAAAAGTTTCCGAAAAACTGCTTAAACACCTATATTTTATTTTGTTTTTTTACATATTTTAAGATTTTTTAAAAATGTATACAGGGTGTTTTGACAAATTTGGCATTGATTAATAACGATCCTGCTTAAAACGCTTGACGTAAAAAGCTGATTTTTGGAAAACAGATTGACTTTAGGGTGTAGAGGTTCGATAAGAAGGGATTTTTCGAAACTCGAATTCTAAGAGGGTGAAACCACCCCTCAAATATTACAATATTTTTTTTATTTAAAAACCGGTGAGTTTTTCCGAAAAACTCTTAAACACGTATATTTTATTTTGTTGTTATACATATTTTAAGATTTTTAAAAATTTATACAGGGTGTTTCAGAAAATATGACCTTTGAGTAATTACGATTGTGCTTAAACTGCTTGACGTTTAAAGCTGATATTTGGCAAACGGATTGACTGTGGAGTGTAGAGGTTCGGTAAGGAGGGGTTTCTCGAATCTCTAATTCCAAGAGGGTACAAACGCCCCTCAAATATTACAATATTTGTTATTTAAAAAACGGTTAGTCTTTCGGGAAAACGCTTGGACACGCATAATTTATTTTGCTTTTAATATTTTCATTTTTTTTTAAATCATACAGGGTGTTCCAAAAAGTTGTGTAATTGATTGACCACGATCCTGCTTAAACTGCTTGACGTAAAAAGCTTATTTTTGTCAAACGGATTTTTCGAAAGTCAAATTACCCCTCAAATATTACCAAGTTTTCTATGTAATTTTTTTAGACATTTCAAAATTTTTCGCAAATTTAGAGAGAGCGTTTAAACAAAAATATGGTATTACAAATGATTAACTCGACGCGAACGAAGTCGCGGATACACGCTAGTAGTCTCATAAAATTCAAATTATTATTTATTCTAAAGTTGGTCCCACACGATATTTCAAACACCTTCCAACGTTGGACTCATGAACATTTGCCACATCGTGCAGGAGACACACTTGTGAATTGCAACATTGTCGAAGCCTATACCAAGTGATGCGTCCAACGTTCGATCGAACGTTGGAAGCATCGTGTAGGACCGGCTTAAAGAATTGAAATGTGTAGGTGTAACTTTTATTTTTGGTTCTGGAAGTATTTTCTCGAAAAAATTAAAAATAGAAGTGGCAAAATTCAAATATGCTGTCAAAGTCTTCTTCTTTCAAATGTTGTTCTAAAGTTGTAAATTTTAGTTAGACTTGTATATATATCGAGTATCAAGCATTAACAAAGATTAAGCGGTTTGGTTCGAGATAATCTTTATGCTGAATTCTCCTTGGTGTACTGTAAATTGTGAATAAATCCCGAGATAGTCGACCGATTCGAGTATTTTAGAATATATATCTATCTGGGCTTTTGAGGATTTTAGAGCAATTTGACCAACGAGTTTCGACTATTTAGAATACTCATAATAAACCATCAGTTAGTCGTATGGTCTTATCTTTATTAACTTTAGACATATATTTGTACTTTTTTTATTCTTAGAGGCAAAAATATTATGTTTTCTTCATAATTTTAAAGATTATGATTGACATTTTTATGCTAGTTTTGCTTTGGATTTTTCAAATATTTTTAAAATTTATTTTTATATTAGCTATAACTTTTTTATTTTTTCAAATAAAATACAAGATTTGGTATGTTAATATATGACATAAATTAGGATTGATTGACATATTCAATTGTTTTTGGTCACTTCCTGGTTCACCGGAAATTACAACAACTTTTGATTTTTAAATGGCACGCTCGGTATGGTTTTACTTTATTCGATAGAAAATGACACTCTGAATAAAATGACATATCATATGTCAACTTTTGACATTTTCAAGCCTCCTTCCAGATTTTTTTTATTTAAATCAGATTTTTTTGATTTTAATTCAAAACAATATTTAAATCGAATTTCCAAATGACTAGGACTTATTTCCAATTAAAGTCCTATCCTAATTGGCTAAATCTATATCCTGATACCGATAAAATTAACAATTCTACGAGGCGTGTGATTTTTCCACATCCAGTCACCAATATATTCCGCAGAAAAAGTCGTTCGCTTCAGATCCAAAGGATTTTATTTCAAACGTCTCAAAAGTATTGATTTTTGTCATTTTAACACCTAGACATAAAAGTAAAGCACTGTTACGCCTAAGCACAAAAGTACAGAAATATATTATTAAACTGGTATTAAGTGTCAAATTCAAGGAGTGTACAAATTGTTGCTCGATTACTGTTTACATTATTTTCAATGTTTGAAATTTTGATTAAAAAAAATATTTGTAATGTTTAAAAAAAATAGTATGTTCTATTCAGAGTACAAATGTACATTTTATGCCTCCCTGTAACGTCGGAATAGCTTTACGATGGTCCTTCAAAGATACAGCATCGTCAAAAAAAGTATAATTTTTACTCCAAGGAGGCTTGGAAAAATATTTTTGATCGTCTAATATTTTTCGTGTCTTGTATTGGTTGGGGTTCAATAGCATATTTGAAAAAAGCATTTTTTTACGAACAATTTGGTACCACACACTTGGTATTTCGAGTCAAATTGTCGTTATGAAGATTTTCTAGAGATACCAGAGAACATTTATTTATTGATTATTTGATTGGATTAGGTAAACCTTTTTTTATTTTTAGTTTAGAATTTATTGCTTTCTTCATTATAAATTTGGCATTGTTAAAAATTGCAAAAATGCATTGAGAATCTCGTTTTTAGATAATCCTTATATTCTTTAGAACTCTGATTATCCTGAAAATTTTGTTATCTAATTAGTGTGTTTGTGGATAGTAATTTTGTTATGAAACGAATATATAATCCTACCGACTCACAGTGGGGTATTTGACACAGATAATTGATCGAAATTTTTTTATGTAGACCTTATATAAATTATTGCTATTTTCAATTAAAGAGGAAATAATATGAACAAAATAAAGGATAATTCGTCGATTCTAAAAAAAGAAAGACAAATCACTGTTCCAGTGTTTCCACGGTCAATGCCACTAATGCCAGTAGTAAAATCGCAACTAATACTACTAATGCTACGACTGATCCGCGAGCAATGCCCATACCACTAAAGTCGCTACTAATGTCAAATTGTGCTATACTGCTAATGACACTAACGCGATCGCTTTGTACACAACAATGCTACCGCGGTTTACACCTGGCATTAGTATATCACTGATTGGCAAATTAGAGGAAACCAAGAATGTTTTTCTCATTTTATCAGCAAAGTCGCAAAAAGTCGCAGTATTTTATTTTACTGTATGAAACCCCAATGTTTACTAAGTAAAACGTATATAGACAATATGCTGAATTCTTCGAAATGCGCAACTAAATTTCTAAGTATAATAAAAATGTCACAAATTTAATGAAATTTTCTGAACGCCTAACTTTTAGTTGCAAAAAAAATCGTTAGTATAGAGAATATCAAAATAAATCATATGTTTTTGTAGAATACATACCCAAGTAGCATTTTCACGACTTGCGACCACATGTTTACTAAACACAACGTTGGATTAGTTACAAAAAATAGTTAGCTCCCTACCTTGGGTATTAAAATAAATTTAAACGTTTTTATAACGTTGTGCCGACGTTGGACTAGTACTACAGCAAAGTAGAAGCTTCTGCGACGTCGAATAAACGTTGTCTTGTAACCTTTTTTGCTTAAGTGATCTTTAGGTGATTTGGACAACGTAGTTACAACGTTGGATAATATAGAGTTTTCCGACGTCAGTTTCAGGACCTATTCCAACGTTATGCAAACGTCGTCTGTTTTACTAATTCCAACGTTGTTTAGATTTCCTTATTCTTACGTTGGTAGGACGTAGAGTCACTACCTTTTTGCAACTGTATTGAACCATAACCTTAAATCTTAAATTTTCAATTCATTGTTCTGTTCAGTCAGACAGTTCAGTGCTGTTTTTGTTTTTATAAAAAAAAAACTTAATTAAAATGGGACATAAGAAAGGTACATATAAAACTAAATTTAAATATACATCGACATATATTACCGACACTTCCTCGTTTATTTAGATTATAGAGGGCGGCACAAGCTAGACTCTAGAATGACTAAATTAGGCAATCTTGCGACTAGTATACTACCTGTTAAGGCCGAACTGCGACTTTATTAGTCCAGTATGCGACTACTCGAACTACTCCATCTTAATCTCCAAAACAACAAAGTTAAAGCCGCCATGTTGTTAAATAAGAAAATGTTTCGTTCTTAAAATAGCAATTCCTGCTTTTTGAATACATTAACTTGAAATATTTGACCCTAAAAAATACGCGGAAACAATTTTTTCGAATGCGAATAAATTATTCTCATTTTACTAAAAAAAAAATTCAAGAAAATTTTTAAAACTTCTTTAATTTCAAGGCCCATTAGTATTTTTTAAAGTAGAAACAATACATTTATCAATAAAGTTGTTTGCGTTTAACTTTTTACCTTGGGTAACGAGTTACAGAGTCGGTTAAAGTGTTTCAATAATTATGATCTTCAAACATCCTCCACACTTAAATACTTTTGTTTTGTTTTCCTTCACTGCCATCTGACATATGTCTCTAACTAAATCATAAAAAATAATATTTTTACTATAATTATCCCAATTTAGGATAAAACGCGACTTAGACGCCATATTAGTTTTGTATTTCTGTGAATTAAGATTTTAAACAACGTTGCAGTTTGTACTAAATTAGGCTTCTAGCCAACGTCGGTATCCAACGTCGTTTCGACCCAGAAATTATTCTCCAAACTAGTGCAGACTAGGGTTGGCACGAGGTTGTGCCGAC